ACAACACGCATTATATGATAACGTCATTCCGGTCTTGGTATGCTTCGGCTGCCATTCCAATAAATAAAAATATTATAATCAGGTCAAAAGAATAAACCGGATTGTATCTCCTTCGGAGGTCATTTCAATAAATTAAAAAAGAAAGGCCCATATAATCCGGGTCAAAACAGATGTCAGCCGAAGGAGACCAAGGCTGTCGTATAATCAGGATTAATAAATTAGATAATACGTATTATCCGGTTCAAAGCATGATCTGATTTATCAATCCGGATTATATTACAGCCTTGGTGTCCTTCGGATGACATTTCAATGAATAAATAAAAACAATGTAATCAGGTTCGAAACGAATAAACCGGGTTATTTGATTCGATAATCCGGATTATATGGCGGTGTCGTTCCAGTTTCGTCGGCTGTCATTTCAACAAATTACAAAAAGAAAGTCCCATATAATCCGGTTAAAGGCTGATATATTATCTGATATATTAATCCGGATTATGTCTCCTTTGTCTCCTTCGGCTGTCCTTTCAATACTGAAAAAAGAAAGACTCATATAATCCGGTTCAAAACATTTTTTTAAAAAACGGATTATATGGCAATGTCGTTCCAGCCTTGGTCTGCTTCGGCTGTCATTTCAAGATGAATTAAAAGAAATAAAAACTCATATAATCCGGTTCAAAACAGATAATCCGGATTATTCTATTGGATAATCCGGGTTTTATGGCAGCGTCGCTCCAGCCTTGGTCTGCTTCGGCTGTCATTTCAGGATGAATTAAAAATAATAAAAACTCATATAATCCGGTTCGGAACGGATAATACGGATTATTATATTCGATAATCCGGGTTATATGGCTGTGTCGCTCCAGCTTTGGTCTCATTTCATTTCCATTGTAAATAAATACAGAACCGCCGGAAATTTTGGAGCCCACGCATTTCCCACGCATTTCCGATCTCTTTTCTCCTTCTGCCGCTCTGAAACCAAACCTTGAAGGAAAGTTTTCAAAATAGAGGGAAAAAGAGGGGGAAAAGGTCCGAATTTAGGCTGGATCCCAGACTGCCACACAAAATCCAGATCCGGCTGTGTAGGATCATATATTCCGGACCAAAACCGGATAATCCGGATTATTTGCATCAATAATTCGGGTTATATGGTGGTCTTGACCCAGACTTAGCATTGCAATGCCTTTGTAAAACGGGGACCTCGGATTCGCTTTGAATGGGACCCTTCAGCAGTGTAGGATCATATATTCCGGACCAAAACCGGATAATCCGGATTATTTGCATCAATAATTCGGGTTATATGGTGGTCTTGACCCAGACTTAGCATTGCAATGCCTTTGTAAAACGGGGACCTCGGATTCGCTTTGAATGGGACCCTTCAGCAGTGTAGGATCATATATTCCGGACCAAAACCGGATAATCCGGATTATTTGCATCAATAATTCGGGTTATATGGTGGTCTTGACCCAGACTTAGCATTGCAATGCCTTTGTAAAACGGGGACCTCGGATTCGCTTTGAATGGGACCCTTCAGCAGTGTAGGATCATATATTCCGGATCAAAACCGGATAATCCGGATTATTTGCATCAATAATTCGGGTTATATAGCGGTCTCGACCCGGACTTAGCATTGCAATCCCTTTGTAAAACGTGCCACACAAAATCGAGATGATCCGCTTTGAATGGGATCTTTCGGCAGTGTATATTCCTGATCAAAACCGGATAATCCGGATTATTTGCAGCAATAATTCGGGTTATATGGCGGTCTCGACCCGGACTTAGCATTGCAATCCCTTTGTAAAACGTGTAAAACGGGGACCTCGGATTTTCGGGTAGGTCTACTCCCGACTAATAATAATACTAATAATAATACTACTACTACTAAATAATACTAATAATAATAATAATAATAATAATAATAATAATAATAATAATAATAATAATAATAATCCGATCCACTTTTAACTCGGAGGGAAAACACTCCACTGGGTTCCAATTGCAATGACTGAATTTTTGCGTTACCCGGGAGTCAAATTCCTCGACCCACATTCCTTGGGGAACTTAATTTGAAACTAATTTCTCCCAAAAAAAAACCCGTTTTCCCCACTTTGCAAACAACCACAATCAAAGGTAAAGGGAGGATCAAGATGGGGAGGAAAATTCGCAATGGGAAAACTGGAAGATTTGGAAATCTGGGGCATCTTGGCACGCTTTGAATGGGATGTATTTGGGGGAAGGGGCTTACCAATGCGAAGGAATGCGGATTCAGAGGGATTCAGAGTGGATCCCATCCGGAAAATTCGCATTTATGTCATGCCTTAATTCAATTTGCGGGGCAAACAACGAAGGTCGGCTCGGAAAAGAAAACCCGACTTCTCTCTGGTTTTCCCCTTCCTTCCTTCCTTCCTTCCTCTTCCTTCCTTCCTTCCTTCCTTCCTTCCTTCCTTCCTCCTTCCTTCCTTCCTTCCTTCCTTCCTTCCTTCCTTCCTTCCTTCCTTCCTTCCTTCCTTCCTTCTTTCTCTTTCCCTCTCTTTCCATCCATCCAGGAAACATGGTCAGTTCCGTTTCCTTTCCAAAGCTGAAATATTATATATACACACACATACATATACGTGTGCACACACACATACATCTGTATATATACATATACACATATACATGTGCGTATATAGATATACATATGCATATACGTGTGCATTCATATACACGTACTTGTGTATATACACATATGCATATACATATACGTGTATATATACACATACATGTGTGTATACATTTAGGTGTGTATACATATACATATGCATATACATGTGCATACATATACACATACACATACTTATGTGTGTATATACATATGCATATACATACACACACACATGTGTGTGTATACATGTATGTGTGTATACATATACATATACATATACGTGTGCATACATATACACATACACATACCTGTGTGTATATACATATGCATATACACATACATATGTGTGTATATACATATGCATATACATATACACATAGACATACATACATGTATGTATACATTTATGTGTGTATACATATACATATGCATATACGTATGCATACATATACACATACACATACCTATGTGTGTATATACATATGCATATACATACACACATACACATACATACATGTGTGTATACATGTATGTGTTTATACATATACATATACATATACGTGTGCATACATATACACATACACATACCTGTGTGTATATACATATGCATATACACATACCTATATGCATATACATATACACATACATATACATGTGTGTATATTACATATACGTGTATGTATACATAAACATATGCATATACGTGTGCATACATATACACATACATATGTGTGAATAGTATACATATACATTTACGTGTATATATACACATTCATGTGTGTATACATATACATATATTTGTGTGTATATATACACTTACATTTGTGTATATACATTTACATATACACATACATATACCTGTGTGTATATACATATACATGTGTGTATATGCATATATATTTACATATACGTGTGTGTATACACATATACATATACTTGTGTGTATACATATACATAGAACATTATAGATATTTCAAAGCGGCAAAAGGCGGAGAGTGCGTTGGGAAACGGAGTGGGAAAGGTGGGCTCCAAAAGCAGAATCTTTTCTCATGTTTTGACCAGAGCCGAAGGAAATCATCCATCTTTGCAATATTTTGGGCAATATTTGGGGCCAAGAACCAAAGCTTCCCCCCCCCCCCGCCCCCATTATTTCCCTCTCCTTCCACCTGCAAAGCCCTGCATCATTGCTCCTCAGAGCCCCCTCCCCACAATTGTCCTTTCAACTTGTTGGGGGTCCTTCAGAAGGGTGGGGGTCACAGAAAGGCGACTCAACAATCCCACAAAACACCCCCCACTTCGTCTGTGCGTAATTGCGCATTCCCTTTCTGACACCTGTTTGTCGTCCTTTCCTCCCTTCCAAGTCGCAACGTAGAAGGAGACGGGATTGTGTCGGATTGGGGGGGGGGGGTCTTTGGGGAAGAGCCCTCCCCTTATAGAGAGGCCAAGTCCATGGAGGAGCCCCCAACTTATGCCCCAAGGGAGGCCCCAACTTATGCCCACTTCTGTCCTTCATTCTGGCCCGGCGCCTTCTGTGCGCCCTGACCAAATCCACCCGCGACGTCCCTTTCTCCTTCGGTATCTCGGCGTGGGAGGGGTCTATTTGGGCAAGCGTTGGTGTGGTTCATAAGGGAGCCTCCCTTTATTGCTGTCCTTCGTGGGGGGCGGAAGGTCAATGGAGGAGCCCCTAAATATCAGTCCTTCGTTCTGTCCGGGCGCCTTCTGTGCGCCCTGACCAAATCCACCCGCGACTCCCATTTCTCCTTCCGTATTTCGGCGTGGGAGGGGTCTTTTGGGGCAAGGATTGGTGTGGGTCATTAGGGGGGCTCACTTTATTGTTGTCCTTCGTGGGGATTGTGAAGTTAATGGAGGAGCCCCTAAATATCAGTCCTTGGTTCTGTCCGGGCGCCTTCGGTGCGCCGTGACAAAATCCACTCGCGGCACCACTTTCTCCTTCGGTATCTCAGCGTGGGAGGGGCCTATTGGGGCAAGGATTGGTGTGGGTCATTAGGGGTCTCCCTTTATTACTGTCCTGCGTGGTGGAGGCGAGAAATCAATGGAGGAGCCCCTAAATATCAGTCCTTCGTTTTTCCCAGGCACCTTCAGTGCGCCTTGACCAAATCCACCCGCGGCTCCACTTTCTCCTTCGGTATCTCCGCGTGGGAGGGGCCTATGGGGGCGAGGATTGGTGTGGTTCATAAGGGAGCCTCCCTTTATTGCTGTCCTTCGTGGGGGGCGGAAGGTCAATGGAGGAGCCCCTAAATATCAGTCCTTCGTTCTGTCCGGGCGCCTTCTGTGCGCCCTGACCAAATCCACTCGCAGCACCACTTTCTCTTTCGGTATCTCCGCGTGGGAGGGGTCTATGGGGGCAAGTGTTTGTGTGGGTCATAAGGGAGCCTCCCTTTATTGCTGTCCTTCGTGGGGGTGGGAAGTCAGTGGAGGAGCCCCTAAACATCAGTCCAGGCACCTCAGTGCGCCCTGACCAAATCCACCCGCGGTGCCACTTTCTCCTTCGGTATCTCCGCGTGGGAGGAGCGAGGGTTGGTGTGGGTCACAAGGGGGCCTCCCTTTATTGCTGTCCTTCGTGGGAGGTGTGAAGTCAATAGAGGAGCCCCTAAACATCAGTTCTTCGTTCTGTCCAGGCACCTTCAGTGCGCCCTGACCAAATCCACCCGCGGCTCCACTTTCTCCTCCCGTATCTCGACGTGGGAGGGGTCTATGGGGGCGAGAGTTGGTGTGGGTCAGAAGGGGACCTCCCTTTATTGCTGTCCTTCGTGGGGGGGTGAGAGGAGGGCTCCGTTCGCCCACAGCGGACCCAAACACTCGTCCCGTGCGTCCTGGCAATACCGCCCTTCGCGCGCTTGGTTTGTTCCTTCCACATTTCCAGAATTTGAGGGAAAAGTTGTCTTGGGGGAGGTCCCAAACAAGTCACAGAGCTGTCCACGACACGGAGGGGAGTCAAAAGAAAGAATAGACGGGTCTGGGAGAAGGAAGGCTTGGTCAGTGGACGGCGACGACGGCGTGGAGCACCGTTTGGCTCGGAGTGGCCGGGCTGCTCTGGCTGGCGGCGCTGGGCGGGCTGAGCGAAGGCGGCGAGTGCGAGAGGATGGCCGGAAGGGGCAAGGACTGGCCTGAAGCCGGGGTGGCTTTGATGGGCACCGGAATGGCGGGCAGAGTGGGCCCTCCTCCTCCTCCTGAGTGGCACAAGGGCTTGAGTGGCACCCCGTAGCCATACTCTGTTCCTCCTCCGGACTCTAGCATTCCCCCAGAGCCGTAGACTTGGGACCAAGCGGTTGGCACAGCCGCCAGTTGGTTGGGCAAGGGGTACGCCCCGGGCATGGGCTGCATGGCAGCGGAGAAGGCCAACCCGCCGGGCATCTTGTACTCTCGGGCGATGATGTTCTCAATGGCGAAGGGGTGCTTGAAGCTGGAAGGAGGCGAGGCGTGGAAAGGGGGGCCCATGGGAGGCGGCAAGGGGTGAGAGGCAGCCGCTGCCGCTGCCGCCAGGGCGCTCAGCCGGAGCTTGGCCTGTTGCTGCAAGTACTGCGCCGCCGCCGCCGCCTCCGAGGGCTTGGCGGCCAAGACGGCGTTGGGCCCGGCCCCCGAGGAGGCGCCCAGCGGGTCGGCCTTGAGCACCTTGAAGCGCTTCCTCCGCCGCAGGAAGCTGCCGTTCTCGAACATGTCCCCGCAGGAAGGGTGCAGCGCCCAGAAGCTGCCCTTGCCCGGCTGGTCCGGCCGCCGCGGGATCTTGATGAAGCAGTCGTTGAAGGAGAGGTTGTGCCGGAGCGAGTTCTGCCACCGCTGCGTGTTCTCCCGGTAGTAAGGGAAGCGGTCCATGATGAACTTGTAGATCTCGCTCAAGGGGAGCATCTTCTCCGGGCAGCTCTGGATGGCCATGGCCGTCAGAGAGATGTACGAGTAAGGAGGCTTCTGGTCGCTGTAGGTGTTGCGGCCCGGGCGGGGCATCCTGGCACCTTCCCCTGCGCAGAGGAGGAGAAGGAAGAGAAGAAGGAAGAGAAGAAGGGAGGAAAAGGAGGGAAGGAGGGAGAGAAGAAGAAAGGGAGAAGGGAAAAGGGAGGAAGGAAGGAGGAGGAAGGAGGTAAAGAAAGAGGAAGGAAGGAATGGAAGAGTGAAGGAAGAGAGAGGAAGAAGGGAAGAAGGAAGGAAGGAAGAAGGAAAGAAGGAAGGGAGAAAGGAGGAAGGAAGAGGGAAGGAAGAGAGAGAGGAAGGGAAGAAGGAAGGAAAGAAGGGAGAGAGGGAGGAAGGAAAGAAGAAAGGAAGGAAAGAAGGAAAGGAAGGAAGAATGAAGGAAATGAGGGGAAAAGGACGGAAGGGAAGAAGGGAGGAAAGCAGGAAGGAAAGAAAGAAGGAAGGAATGGAAGAGGGAAGGAAGAGGAGACGGAAGGGAGAAAGGAAGGAAGGGAAAAATGAAGAAGAAGGGAGGAAAGAAAGAAGAAAGGAAGGAAGGGAAAGGGAAGAAAGAAGGGAGGAAAGAGGAGAGAAGGGGAAAGAGGAAAGAAGGAAGGAGGAAAAAGGAAGGAAGGAAGAAGGGAGGAAAGGAGGGAGAAGGAGAGAGAGGAGGAAAGAAGAAAGGAAGGGGAAAAGGAAGAAGGGAGGAAAGGAGGAAAGAATGAAAGAAGGAAGGGAGAAAGAAAGGAATGGAAGAGGGAAGGAAGAGAGAGGGGAAGGGAAGAAGGAAGGAAGGAAAGGAGGAAAGAAAGAAGAAAGGAAGGAAGGGAAAAGGGAAGGAAAGAAGGGAGGAAAGAGGGAAGAAAGGGGAAAGGAAGAAAGAAGGAAGGAAGGAGAAAAAGGAGGAGAAAAGAAGAAAGAAGGAAAGAAAAGGAGGAAGAAAGAAGAGGAAGGGAAGAAAGGAGGAGGGGAGAGGGGAAGGAAGAGAGAGGGGGAAGGAAGGAAGGAAAGAAGGGGGAGAGGGGGAAGGAAAGAAGGAAGGAAAGAAGAGAGGAAGAGAGGAAGGAGGAAATAAAGAGGGAAGGAAGGAAGGGAGGAAGGAAAGGAGAAAGGAAAGAAGAGAAAGGAAGGGGAAAGGAAAGGAAGGAAGAGGGAAGAAAGAGAGAGGAAGGAAGAAGGAAGGAAGAAGGAGGAAAGGAGAAGGGAAGAAGGGAGGAAAAGGAGGAAAGAAAGAAAGAGGGGAAGAGGGAAGGAAGAAGAGAGGAAGGAAGGAGAAAGGAAGGAAGGAAGGAAGAATGAAGGAAAAGAGGAAGGAAGGGTGAAGGAAGGAAGAAGGGAAGTGGGAAGGGAAGAAGGAAGGAGGAAAGCAAAAAAGGAAGGAAGGAGAGGGGAGGGAAAAAAGGGAAAGGAAAGAATGAAGGAAAGAAAGAAAGAAGGAAGAAAAGGAGAAGGAAGGAAGGGAAGGAAAGAAGAGAAAGGAAGGGAGGAAAAGAAAGAAGGGAAAAGGGAAGGAGGAGGAAGAAGAAGCAAATCAAGAAAGAAGGAAGGAAGGAAGAAGGAAAGGAGGAAGAAAGAAGGAGGGAGGGAGAGGAGAGAAAGAGGAAGGAAGGAAGGAAATAAGAAAGGAAGAGAGGGAGGGAGGGAGGAAAGAAAGAGATCTTGAGGTTGGATCTTAAACTGATTTTCAACATTACATTCAGCTCTTTATAAGTCGGAAAAAGGACTTTTTACACGTCTAACTCCAGCCAAATAGATTACTGTTACTACTACTAATCCTCATTATCCGCTTTGAACTGGATTATATGAATCTACAAAGACAGATAATCCAGTTCAGAGCAGATCATCTGGAGTTTCCATGGCAGTGGAGAAGGGTCCTCCAAGCGTGTCCATACCACTTCAAACCTACAAACATGAAAACAGAATTAAATAGCATTGCCATTGGAAACAGGTTGAGTTTAAATCCCTACAAACAGATTCAAAACTTGAAAACACTTTGGGATGGCACAGGGAAAGGTGGAAGCAGAGCTGTTGTTCAAGCGTGGAACTCACTGCTTTTGAGCAGAGACCAGAAGGCAATCTGTCGGGGCTGCTTGGATTGGGCTTTTTCCTGCCTGATAGGTCCATATTATTCTCCTTGACCTCAGCAGGTTAGATATCTGGGTTGCTGTGAGTTTTCCGGGCTGTCTGGCCATGTTCCAGAAGCATTCTCTCCTGACGTTTCGCCTGCATCTATGGCAGGCATCCTCAGAAGTTGTGAGGTTAGGCTTCCTTTCAATTGTTCCCTTAGATCCACTCTGGAAAGGAGCGCCAGATCCACTGGAATTTCAAATAATACTAATAATACTATTATTAATACTAATATAATACTAATACCAATAGGAGTAATATTAATACAATACTAATACCAATAATCATATCAATAATACTAATATAATACTAATACCAATAATCATATTAGTCACACTAATATAATACCAATACCAATAAGAGTAATATTAATATAATACTAATACCAATAATCATATCAGTAATACTAATATAATACTAATACCAATAATAGTAATATTAATCGAATACTAATACCAATAATCATATCAGTAATACTAATATAATACCAATAATAGTAATATTAATCTAATTCTAACACCACTAATCATATCAGTAATACTAATTTAATACTAATATCAATAATAGTAATATTAATCTAATACTAATACCAATAATCATATCAGTAATACTAATTTAATACTAATACCAATAATAGTAATATTAATCGAATACTAATACCAATAATCATATCAGTAATACTAATCTAATACTAATACCAATAATAGTAATATTAATCGAATACTAACACCTATAACCATATCAGTTACTAATTTAATACTAATACCAATAATCATATTAGTCACACTATTCTAATAATAATACCATTAACATTATTAGTCACACTAATCTAATACTAATACCAATAATCATATCAGTAATACTAATAAAATACTACTACTAATAATAATCATATTAGTCATATTAATATAATACTAATAGTAATAACCATATTAGAAATACTGACAAAGCTAATAATACTACTATACTAATAAATATCAATAATCATATTAGCAAGACTAACAATGCTAATGATACTAATATACTAATAACATCTAGAATGATATTAGTAATACTAATGATACTAACAATAGCGATATTCATATTAGCAATACAAACAATGCTAATAACAGCATCATGTTAATAATTTCAATATTCATATTAGTAATATTATCAAAGCTAATAATGCTAACATACTAATAATATCAGGAATGATATTAGCAATATTAATGATACTAATATGTTAATAATACCAATAATCATATTAGTAATACTATCAAAGTTAGTAATATTAATATCCTAATAATATCAAGAATGATATTAGCAATATTAATGATACTAATATGTTAATAATACCAATAATCATATTAGTAATACTATCAAAGTTAGTAAGATTAATATCCTAATAATATCAAGAATGATATTAGCAATACTAATGATACTAATATACTATTAACACCAGTAATCATATTAGTAATACTAACAAAGCTAATAATACTAACATGCTAATAATATCAATAGTATTAGTAATGCTATGAAAGTTAATAATGTCAAGAATAATATTAGCAATACTAATGTTACCAATAATACTAATAATAAAATTTATAATACTAACAATGTCAATAATAGTAACATACTAATAATACAATAATCATATTTGTAATGCTAACAGTGCTAATATCAATAATAGTATTAGCAATGCTAACAATGCTAATTATACCAACATGCTAGTAATATCAATAATCATATTAGTAATACTAACAATGCTGACAATGCTAATACACTAATCAATAATATTAGTAATACTAAAAAAGCTAATAATATCAACCATATTAGTAATACTGACAATGGTAATAATACTAATATACAAATAATATCAAGAATATTATTAGCAATACTAATAATGTTAATAATATTAATATATTACTAATATCAATAATTCTATTATATGACAATACTAATATCAATAATAATATTAGCAATATTAGCAATGCTAATACTATTATACTAATAATATCAATGATCATATTAGCAGTACTAACAAATTTAATATATTAATATAATTATAATATCAATAACCATAAGAGTAATACTAACAATGCTAATGCCAATAATCATATTAGTAATAGTAACAATGCTATTATCAATAATAACATTAGCAACACTACAATCAATACAGTCAATAATATTAGCAATTCTAACAATGCTAATAATACATACTAATACAATCAATGATATTAGCAATTCTAACAATGGTAATCATACTAACATACTAATATAATCAATATTATTAGCAATTTTAATAATGCTAATAATACCAACATACTAATACAATCAATAATATTAGCAATTCTAACAATGTTAATAATACTAACATACTAATATGATCAATAATATTAGCAATTCTAACACTGCGAATAATACGAACATACTAATACAATAAATATTATTAGCAATTTTAACCATGCTAATAATACTGACATACTAATATAATCAATAATATTAGTAACTAACAATGCTAATAATACTAACATACTAATACAATCAATAATATTAGCAATTTTAACCATGCTAATATTAGTAATAGTAACAATGACATACTAATATAATCAATACTAATATAATCAATACTAATATAACTGACATACTAATATAATCAATAATATTAGTAATTCTAACCATGCTAATAATACCAATAATAGTAGTACTGAGCTAATACCAATATATTAATAACACCAATGATATTAGTAATACCAATAATGATATTAGCAATACTAACAATGCGAATAATACTAACATGCAATAATAATATTCGTAATACCACCAATACGAATAATACGAATATACTAATAATGATAATGCTAATAACACTAGCATACTAATTGTATAATAATAATAATAATAATAATAATAATAATAATAATAATAATAATAATAATAATAATATACTGACAATATCAATAGTCATATAATGCTCATAGATAGCAATAATTCTGCAGTATTACGACTACTAGGTGGAGGTAAAGGGATGGATCTCCCCACGCGCTGAGACCCACTCGAGAAAAGGAATTCGGGTGGAAAGGCTGCTTCCTCCTGGGAGTGGGTTTCAAGCCCTTTCTTTGCGACTGGAGAGGAAACTTGGGGCCGGAAAAGAGGGGCCGAAAAGGGAGGGAGGGGGTAAACATGGCCCCCTCTTTCCCACGGGGCAAGGCCCCCGTCGCGAGGGGTCAAAGACCACCCGAAAAGCAGAGAGACCCCCCAAGTCCCTCCACTTTCCTGGAGGAAGGCTTAGGATGCGCCCCAAGTCGCACCTTCTTTTTGGCTGCCTTGCCTTCCATCTAAATGGGGGGAAATTGGGGTCTAGCTTGGGGAGGGGGTCACCTATCACCCCATAAGCCCCCTCCCCGAGGAGAGACACCCCCCCGGCTTTAAATCCGCCTCCAAATTGGGACTCGGGAACCCGAAAAAAACCCGAATCTCTCCTTGTTGGGATGTTCTCACCTCAGAAAGACTTCCATCTAAAAGGGAGAAAATTGGGGTCTGGGTTGGGGAGGGGGTCACCTATCACCCCATAAGCCCCCTCCCCGTGGAGAGACACCCCCCGGCTTTAAATCCGCCTCCAAATTGGGACTCGGGAGCCCGAAAAAAACCCGAATCTCTCCTTGTTGGGATGTTCTCACCTCAGAAAGCTCGGCTCATCCGTGGGGAGGCCGCCCCTCTTTGCGAGCAGCCCGAGGCCTCCTTCCTTAAGTCCCGAAGGAAGAGAAGAAGGAGACAAGAGAAAAGGAGGAAGAAGGAGAAGAGGAAAAACCCCGAATCTCTCCTTGTTGTGATGTTCTCACCTCAGAAAGCTCGGTGCATCCGTGGGGAGGCCGCCCCTCTTTCCGAGCAGCCCGAGGCCTCCTTCCTGAGGTCCCGAAGGAAGAGAAGAAGGAGACAAGAGAAACGGAGGAAGAAGGAGAAGAGCTGGAAAGTGGGCTTCACTTCCGAAGGAAGAAAAGGAATAGCTCTGGTATGTACTCAATGGAAGAAGAAGAGGAGGAGGAATGAGAGAGGAAGAGGAGAAGGAGGGAGAAGAAGAGGAGTTGATTTCAGGCTAGGAAGTGGGCTTCAGTCCCGAAGGAAGATGGAGAAGGAAGGGAAGGAATGGCTCAGGGTCTGGACTTAATGGAGGAAGAGAAGAAGGAACAAGAGGAGGAATGAGAGAGGAAAAGGAGGGAGAAGAAGAAGAGGAAGGGGAAGAGGAGGAGGAGAAGCAGTGGAGCTGACTTCTTCAATCCCGACGGAAGAGGAGAAGGAAGGAAAGGAAGGGCTCTGGGATCAAAAGAGGAAGAGAAGGAATGAGGGCGGAAGAGGGGAAGGAGGGAGTAGAAGAAGAGGAAGGGGAGAAGCAATGACTTCAGTGGGCTTCAATCCCGAAGGAAGAGGAGATGGGGAAGAAAAGAGAAGGAGACAGAAGAAGAGGAAAAGTAATGAGGGAGGAGGAAAAGGAGAAGAAGAGAGCTGCAGGAGAGCGGAAGCGGGGGGGGGGGGGAAGAAAGCCAAGGAGAAAAGGTTGTCGGAAGAGTAAGAAGAGAAGGAATGCGAGGCAAGAAGAGGAGAAGAAGGAGAAAGAAGAGGAGGAGGAGGAGGACGACTTTAGGCTGAAAAAGTGGGCTTTCAGTCCCGAAGGAAGAGGGGAAGGAGACAAAAGAAGAGGAGAAGTGTTGAGGGAGGAAGAGGAGAGCCAGGAGGAAGAGGGGAAAGATAAAGCGAAGGAGGGGGATGAATGAAGGATGAGGAGGAGAAGCGAGGGATTTGGCTTCAAGCTGGAGGGCGGAAGAAGGGAGGGAGAAAGCCAAGGAGAAGGAAAGGTTGTCAGAAGAGAAAGAAGAGAGGGAGGAAAAAGAAGAGAAAGAAGAGGAGGAGAAGGGGAAGGGGGAGGAAAAGGAGGAGATAGGAGGAGAGGGGAAAAGAAGAAGAAGAAAAGAAGAAGAAGAAGAAGAAGAAGAAGAAGAAGAAGAAGAAGAAGAAGAAGGAGGAGGAGGAGGAGGAGGAGGAGGAGGAGGAGGAGGAGGAGGAGGAGGAGGAGGAGGAGGAGGAGGAGGAGGAGGAGGAGGAGGAGGAGGAGGAGGAGGAGGAGGAGGAGGAGGCGGAAGAAGGGAAGGAAAAAGCCAAGGAGAAGGAAAGGTTGTCAGAAGAGAAAGAAGAGGGGAAGGAAAAAGAAGAGGAGGAGAAGTAATGAGGGAGAAAGAGGAGGAGGAAAAGAAGGAGGGCGGAAGAAGGGAAGGAAAAAGCCAAGGAGAAGGAAAGGTTGTCAGAAGAGAAAGAAAAGGAGGAGAAAGAAGAGGAGGAGGAAAAGGAGAAGAAGCGGGGTCGGAAGAAGGGAAGGAGAAAGCCGAGGAGGAGAAGGAATGCGGGGAGGGAGAGGAGGAGGAGAAAGAAGAAGAGGAGGAGGAGAAGTAATGAGGGAGAAAGAGGAGGAAAAGAAGAAGGGAGGGCGGAAGAAAGGAAGGAAAAAGCCAAGGAGAAGGAAAGGTTGTCAGAAGAGAAAGAAAAGGAGGAGAAAGAAGAGGAGGAGGAAAAGGAAGAAGGGGAGGGAAGAAGGGAAGGAGAAAGCGAGGGAGGAGAAGGAGAAGAGGAGAGAAAGAAGAGGAGGAGGAAGAGGAGAACCGGGCAGGAGGGCGGAAGAGGGGAAGGAGAATGCCAAGGAAAGGAAAGGATCCGAGGAACGGAGGAGGAGACGGAAGAAGGGAGGAAGAGGAGAAGAAAAGGGGGAAAGAGAGGCGAAAGAGAAAGAAGAGAAGAAGGAAACAGGAAGGAGGAAGGCGAGAAAGGAGAGGAGGAAAAGTTAAGGAAGCGAGGCTGTGAAGCAGCAGCGTCGAGGGAAGACGGGAAGGAGAAAGGCGACGCGGAGGAGGAGAAGAAGAAGGCTTGCGGCTCCGGCTTGCGGCTCTGCGGAGGAAGACCCGAAGGAGGCAGAAGCGGAGGAGGAGGAGAAGAAGGAGAAGGGTCAGCTCAAGGGGCCCGGGGCTCTTCTTCCGCGTCGGCCAGGGCTTCTTCCTCCATCTCCCTCGCCTTCCGCGGCCAGCCTGCTGAATGGGCCACTTCTGGGCTCGCAGATGACGAGGGAGGGAGGGAAGGAGGGAGGGAGAGGAGAGGGAGGAGAGGAGAGGAGGAGGAGAGACCTAATCCGGTTCCATTGACACCTCTTGGGCGCGACCAATGGCGACGGCGAGGAAGGAATCCGGAGGAGGCAGGGGGGGGGGGGGTCTGAGCAGCCCTGGCCTCCCCCCAAATCCCCCCCAAGACCCTCCAAGGGGAGGAAAAGGGCTCCCTTTGCAGCCCTGGCCAAAAACAGCCAGCTTGGCCTTGGAGGAAGAAAGGCTCCCAAACTTTTGCTGAACTTCTGCTTCCTTTTCCAATTTTATTTACAATCCCATTGTCCTGTGTTATTCCTTTCAACGTGACTGTTTTGGGGGAGCTGCTACTACTATATTTATTATATATTATATTTATTATTATCATGATATTTATTGTTGTTGTTGTTCTACTATTATGTTTATTATTAAGAAACTGCCACTACTATTATTATATTTCTTCTTCTTATATTTATTATTGGGAAGCTACTACTACTATTATAATATCTATTATTATAATATTTATTATTGTTATTCTACTTCTATTATTATATTTATTATTGTATTATTATTATTATTGTTCAACTGCTACTATTATTATATTTAGTATTGTTCTTCTACTACTACTACTTTATTTATTATTGTTATTCTACTACTATTATATTTCTTCTTATTATTATATTATTATTGTTCAACTGCTACCATTATTATTATATTTATTATTGTTGTTCTACTACTACTATTATTATATTTATTATTGTATTTATTCTTCTACTACTATCATTATATTTATTATTATTATTATATTTATTATTGTTGGTCTTCTACTACCATTATTATTATATTTATTATTATTGTATTCATTATTGTTCTACTACTATCATTATATTTATTATTGTTATATTATTGTTGGTCTACTACTACTATTATTATATTTATTATTGTTATATTTATTATTGTTATTTTACTACTATTATATTTATTATTAATATATTTATTACTGTTGTTCTACTACTATTATTATATTTATTATTGTTGTATTTATTATTGTTGTCCTACTATCATTATATTTATTATTATTGTTGGTCTTCTACTACCAGTATTATTATATATATATATTTATTATTATATTATTGTTGGTCTTCTACCACTACTATTATAATATTTATTATTGTTGTATTTATTATTGTTATTCTACTACTATTATATTTATTATTATATTTTTTATTGTTGTTCTACTACTACTTATTATTATGTGTATTATTACTGTATTCATTATTGTTGCTCTACTACTATCATTATATTTATTATTATTATATTTATTATTGTTGGTCTTCTTCTACTACTACTACTATTATAATATTTATTATTGTTGTATTTATTATTGTTATTCTACTATTATTATATTTATTATTATTGTATTCATTATTGTTGTCCTACTATTATTATATTTATTATAATATTTTCTATTATTCTACTACTATTATATTTATTATTATTATGCTTATTGTTGTTCTACTACTATTAATATATTTATTATTATTGTATTTATTATTGTTGTCCTACTATTATTATATTTATTACAATATTTGCTATTGTTATTCTACTACTATTATATTTATTATTATGTTCATTGTTGTCCTACTAATATTATTATATTTATTATTATTATTATTCTACTATTATTATATGTATTATTATTGTATTCATTATTGTTGTTCTACTACTATTGTTATATTTATTATTGTAATCTTTATTATTGTTATTCTACTATTATTATGTTTTTATTGTTCTACTACTACTATTATATTTATGATTATATTTACTATTGTTGTTATTCTAATACTATTATTATATTGATTATTGTTGTTCGACTACTACTATTACTATATTATTTATTATTATTCCACCCCCTCCCCCAATTATTCCAAAGAGGAAAAAGAACAGGATTGAAATGAGATCTCAGAAGAATTCCAGGATCTTTCGGGATCCCTCCCAATCCCGCAGAGAGAACGTCTGAATGGCTGCCAAACCCGTGTACGAATGACACGGAAGAATGCGGAGATGGGGGCAGATCCCCGCCTCGCGTGGGACTCCTAGGGGGCATCTACACTGTCGAATTAAACGCGGTTTGACACCACTTGAAACCCCCCCCCCCGGCTCAGCCCAATGGAATCCTGGGAGCTGTAGTTCGGCAGAGAGGGGTTCAAGGGGTCCCAAACTGCAGTCATTTTACAGTGTGGACACACGCTGAGAGATGCCTGAAGCGCATCTCCACATGGAATGGCAAAGTATTGCTCTCTCTCTCTCTCTCTGTATACACACACACACATACACTTATATATGCATATTACACACACACACACACACACACACACACACACACATACTGTGCCTCCCAAATAATAAATATTAATTCTGCCCCCCCCCCCCCACCACCACCTCCCAAGGGGGGAGTGAATATATATTGCAGATATAGACTATTCACTATCTATCTAAACCTTGGGAAACAGACATCTATTGATATATATTCATTTTTTTCTGGGGATCAGTGGGGTGGATATCTATACCCATGATCTATCTATCTCTCTATCTCTCTATCTCTCTATCTATCTATCTATCTATCTATCTATCTATCTATCCACCTATTTTTCTGGGAGTGAATATCAATATCCATGGTTACACCTGTCTATCTATCTATCTATCTATCTATCTATCTATCTATCTATCTATCTATCTATCTATCTCTATCTCTCTCTCTCTCTATCTATCTATCTATCTATCTATCTATCCACCTATTTTTCTGGGAGTGAATATCAATATCCATGGTTACACCTGTCTATCTATCTATCTATCTATCTATCTATCTATCTATCTATCTATCTATCTATCTATCTCTATCTCTATCTCTATCTATCTATCTATCCACCTATTTTTCTGGGGGTAAATATCAATATCCATGGTTACACCTGTCTGTCTGTCTGTCTGTCTGTCTATCTATCTATCTCTATCTCTATCTCTCTCTATCTCTCTATCTATCTATCCACCTATTTTTCTGGGGGTGAATATCAATA